GCCGCGTCGTGGCCTCCGCAGCGGCCAGGTTGGCCTCGCCGCCGCAGCGGCCGGATGGGGGCCAAGCCGAGGGAAAGGGACGGAACAGTGGACCGTTTCGGTGGTCCCAAAGGGCTCCGCATGATGGTGTGATCGACCAGGGATAGTGCTTCACCCCGGGCAAGGAAAAATCCAGCAACAAAAATGGTTCAATTGTGTTCAATATGTTCAATTGTTCGCCCGCTTGGTTGTACCTGACTGTGGGCAAAAAAAGCATTTGTCACAAGAAGCTGGCACTTTGAAAGGAAGAGAGGAGGCCAGCCTAAAAACTTCCCAAACACGACCCAGCTGCGCAAAAGCAGCAGAAACCACCCAACGGACCCAACGCCCAGCCTCCAACTGCTGGCTCTTCGCCTTCTCGGAGCGCAGTTGCTCCTGAACTGACACGAACCGGATCGCATGGTGCGAACTGACTCAGGGACTCTGGCAACGATGGACTCCCAATAAACAAGAACAGTTAGATCCCAAGCGCAGGGGGAAGATGGCAATAAGATGTGGAAAGGGACTCGACGGATCTCGGCCCTTTCGAAGCGTGACGAAGCGGTGCACGGCACGCAGCAAAGTCCTGCACTTTGCTCCGAATCTTTTTGACGCCACAGAGAACCTGCAAGAGAGGCTAGAGAGGCTGGTAGTTTTTCATGGTCCAGATCTTCCAGAACCTGCAAGAAGCCAAGACTATTCATGCGGTCCCTCACATTCTTTTCGAGGTGCCTCAAGTGGTTCCCGGCTTCAGCAAGGGGAACCGCACCTTCGCTGACTCTTGATGACTCTTCTCCATCTGCTCCCGGAGCTCATCCTCGGTGCCTCAGCAGATTTCGCGACGGTCCTCGCGGAGCACCGTTGGCGGAGCAAAGGTCGATCTCTGATTCGGTGAATCATTTAAACAATGTTCTCTACTAGGAACAAGTGCATCGCTACTAGTAACAAGTGCCTTACTAGTAGTAACAAGAAGCTGGTAGTAATTGTCAATGGCCCCGGCCATCTTAGCTACCTTAGCAAAATCTGAGCACCTGTCCAGACGTGTTGCCTTGCACTTGATCCCACTTGTCTCCCCCTTTTGACGACCGGACCGGAAAGTGGGGCCGATCCACGGCTTCCGAGGACCGGACCCTCCAGCGCAGCTTCCAGCCTGGCAACCTGGCCGAATGGTCAGGCCAATCCACCCACTGCAACTACTGAGAGGTGTGTTTTCCCATCGCTTCCAAGTAGGAGGCCATCGCCATTTAGGTAGGAGGCCACTGCTTCCAGGTAGGAGGCCATCGGTCGAGTCAGTCTGGTCCAGTGCTCCTCACTTTGCATGGTCAAGAGCTCCTCCTTGGTGGTGTCCAAGTCTGCCTCCGTCGCACACCGCGAGACTGGCACTTGTTTGTGGCGGAAAAAGGCTGTGCCAAGAAGAGCTTCAAGTTGGATCTGTCTAGTTCTTGCTGGCAAACTTGTGTTTCAGGTCTGAAGGCGGGCCATCGCCGGCTGTCGGGAGAACAAAGACGACCCATCACAAAGTGCATAGACCCATGCAGGCAGGATATGGATCCATTGTGATCCATTGATGTTCTCACCATTTCTTCATAGACCCATCGGCACCTCCCGCTGACAAATCTGCTCTTGCAAGGCCTCCGCGTTCGATGGCGCGCAGCTTCAACGACCGGTACGCTCGGACCGCCAAGGTTTGTTGATGTGTTTGGATCCACATGAGATCAACATCCTACTACTCTCTTCACCACTTCACACCATGCCATACTCTCAGTCCACTGAGTGAGGCGCGCAAAAACAAGTGCACAACAAAGGCTATGTCAAATTGGTCGCGCACAAAGAAACACAAGGCCATGATCACAAGGTGCGTCTTTGAACCGCTAGCATTAGCATTTCAGGAACACAGGTGGATTTCCTCCATCACTTCATGTCGAGGGACCACAGTCACAGTGTGGGACTTGAGGCTCCGTGGAGGCTTTGGGATGTTTCGTTGCATTTTTTGTTTAGGAAAAATGGGTTCCAAACCTGCCTGCGGCCTGAACTCCGAACCCTGCCTGCGTCGAGACGTCGCGGGCGGCGGTGAGCTTGCGCAGCTTCTCCGCCGCCTGCCCGGTGGAGCTGCGGGGGTTCCAATGGACCGGAGAAAGCACCGATTCGCAGCGCATGGGGCTCTGCTTCGGAGACTTTCCACCTGTTCAAGGGCACTTCTGAGTCCTACTCACCTGAGACATCCTGAGACCTTGAAATGCCATGAGACCACCCTTCCTGTTCAGAACTCTCTCGATAGTTCCTTCAACCCTGAAAGGTCAACCTGTCTGACCACTGCTTCCGCCAAACATCGCAGAAGTAGATCCTCGCGCCTGCTCCTTGAACAACTTGGAGTGTTCTTTGACCGTTGCCATCACCTACAACGCGCTGAAAATCATCTACACGTGTAGACACACACAGCCTCTTGGTTTGGCTGGTCCAACAAGTTGCTTCGGAAAGCCCTGTCTGGCACGGGCGACTTTGATCGGACTCGTCCTACTTAGTAGGTTGAAAAACAAAACGCACAAAGGCTCATCTTTCCAGCAACCACCCACAAGGAGGTCCCGCCGTCGCTTCAGCTGGCCGAGCCTCCTGAAACTCCAAGGCAGCTGCCTCTTTTTCCTTCGTTAGAGTCCTCACCTGCAGTTGATCACATGTCTGCAAAACAGAAAGAAACACACACACTCACACTCACAGCCATCTTCTTGGATTGGTCAGTTTAAGATGTTTAAGCTCATACAGCCACCACGGCAGCATCTCTGGCTGCTAGGAAGTGCAAGCAGCACGGCCAACTTTGAATACCTTGTTTCACCAAATTATGCCATCTCCGAGTTCACCTGACTCAAAGCTTCGGTAGAATGAGTTTCACTTGTGATCAAACGCAAGGCGCTAGGGCCGCTGGGATTCACCCGACCTGACACTAGTTTTCGCCATAGTTTGCCCCACAGTCGTGAAATAGATGCCAGTCATGTCAATCAGAAATGACAAAACGGAAAACCAATACAACACAAATAAAATCGTCGCTCAGCCAGTCAAACAAAACCAGATATGGGAACCAAGTTGCAGACCCATTTGGTTGAAACACAAGGGAATTGGCGGTTCCCCTCATCTTGAAGTCTGTTCCACCCTTCAGATCAGGAGATTTATATACACGGTCAACTTGTCAACATGTCACAACATGTTAAAGCCCCGCCATCGCATGTGTGCGCGTCAGGCGTGTTGCCTCCTCCTCCTTTTTCTCGAGCAATTTCTTAATCTCAGAAGAAGCTAGGGACAATTCCTGGCCGCAATCCGCGAGGGCGAGGGTGCAAATTCCATTGATGGGTTCGTGGATCAACTACAGTTCCCATTCTTGCGGACGACCACGAACGGCCTGCCAAAGCATCAAAATCAGCACAGTGGGGCGGGAAAGCAAAAAAAGACACATCAAATCATATCATATATCATCATCTCTCAAGAAAGAAGACCAGCCACTGGAATTCGACCCATCCACCGCCCATCCGTTCCTTCTCACGCTCATCTCGCAACGTCCGATCCTCGGCATTCGTTGGCACAGGTCAGTTGGCACACGAGTACACGACACAAACTCCGTGAGAACCTGGACAACATGAAAACACATGGGACAAACATCCGGAAAAAATAATAGAAAATCGGACAAATAGGGAAAAAAAAAGAACACTGCCCTCCACCTGGCCGCACCGTGGACTTTGTTTTGTGCCCCTTCTTGTCGCTTTCGGACCTGCGGCTTCGGCCGCGGCCAAAGCGTTGGGCCGCGGCGGGACCTGCTCGGTGCTTCGGCGCAGCCCCCGGACCGCGTGGGGTCCGGGCGCCCCGGTTCCGGGGCGGCCGCGCGGGGTGGAGCCGAGGGCGGGCGCATTTGCGGAGGGGTCCAAACCCAGATCGGGTGATTTGGTGTCCTCCTTTGCGGTTCGCATGAGAAGGCTGTGGGAGTATTTGATCATCTGAGGCCAGAGAAATATCATGAATGGATCAGAACCTTTCCTTGTTGCCTAGAGTCTCAAGACTCTCTTCATGGAATGGGTCACCTGGACCTGACCGTTCGACAACATGCTTCCAAACAGGTCCTGAGGAATCAAGCCAGTCCAGAAACGAAGGGGACATCCAGCCCGATCAGTGCATCGTCATGTCGGGGTACTGATGTTGCTAGGAGCTTCTGCACCGGCAGGGTGGCTTTGTTTCCTGAGATGTTCCGATCTTAGTTGGGCATGTGGTGGACCCCTCTAAGTTGAAGCTCTAGGAGCTTCAGAGATCATTTGTACATTCCCACAGACCAATTGTCCTGGGAGCGAAAACCTTTCACTAAGGACCTTGTTGAGGTTTTGAGCTAGATTCTGGCTCGGTCTGGCCATCAGGCTGAGACTTCAAGAAGACCAAAATGGAAATGGTTCATGGGACTGCCAAGGTAGTAAAGAGCTCCGCGCATCTCAGCCAAAACAGGCTTGTAAGAAGGTGCTGTTCGCACACTTCGAGGGAAGAGAACCAAAATCTCTTTGATTGCGAGCTTGGGGCGGCATTGGCTCAGGACTCAATACCACTATGGGACTGGTCGCTCTCTTTAGATCCTTGCACCAACCTCTGCTTGGCACTTCTTTTTGTGAGCGTCAAAGGATTGCAATAACACCCGCGCAGGAAACCTGCAGTAGTTTAAGGAGATGTTGCAAGTTCATGACGCAAGACGCAAGACTGTTGGCGTTGTTTTGCTTTCCAAAAACGTCCTAGGCACAAAAAATGTGAGGGCAGCACGCCTCTAGTGGTGAGTTTTTTGTGCCTTAAACATAAAGGATCAATGCAAATTTATATAAACAACTAACAACTGACAAATTGTGGAAGGTGTTGTGTGGCTTTCATGGGGTGGGGAGCATGGCTCATTGGCGGGTGGCCACACACAAAACCACAGGCGGGTGGCCAGTCCGTTGGCCTTGGTGTTTGGTCACGGCCGAAGCACGTACGAAACCTCTCTTTAACCAATCGCCCCCAACTCGTCAGCGCTGCGGGGAAGCCGATGGGACGCTCTCCGCGTCAGAAGCCGATCTCGGCCAAGCCGTACTCGACGTCCGCGCAGCTGAGATCCGTGGTATTGATCCCCGCGGGCGGGCGGGTGGCCTGTCGTGTGGGCGTGGCGGTCGCAGTGAGGAGAAAAGGGTCCACACCTTCGCCTGTCGGTGCTGGGAATGAATCAATGGAGACGAACTCGAACCATCGGCACGCTTCGCGACTCTGTTGGGAATACTTGGGAATCAGAGCAAAAACTGAAAGCGATCCTGGAACATTATATACTACTAGGAGCAAGAAGCTATTAGGGGCTCCTGGCGCTACTAGGGGCTCCTGGCATCGCTACTAGGAGCATTCTTACTACTACAAAAAATGTCCAAATGCCTTCGACACCTTGGCCATCCTTGGCCCCCTCGTCACCACCTTCGACCTCCTCACTTTCCACCTTGAACTCCTGGAACTTCTCGGGCGCCAACAGCACCAAACAGCTGCAGGCGGGCAAGTCCAAGGTCAGCGAATCGCTGCAGTCCGGCCGCGCCTGGCCACTCCTGCCAAGGATGGCCACCCCAACCGAATCCTCTGGCCACGCGAAGCTAGATCACAAAAAGAACACGACTCAAAGCAAAAAAAACTACACCCCAACCCCCAAACCTCCTGAAGTCTGGGAGTAGTTTAGTGGCCCCATGGAGTCCCACCACCCCCCCCCCCCCATCCAGTCCAGATCCATGCAGAGTTGCCAGGACCGCCTCCACGGCCACCGTAGCGGCCATCGTCCGAGTTCAACAGCACCTCCCAGCCTCCGGCACGACCGGCAAGCATCCAGTTCACATCGGCTGTCGCGTCCGGCTCGTTAAAGGGGCAACTAGTAGCGTTAGTAGCGATGCCAGGAGCCCCGATCGTAGCGTCCGATCGCTCCCAATAGCTCACAAAAGAACCAAGCCCCGACTGTTCGCGTTTCGCTCTCATGTCGCTAGGGCTGATGATCTCTCTTTCCGCCCGCTGGGCACGGGCCTCCCCAATAGGGACTGCCTGGGCAAGTTTACGCTGAGCGCTGGAACGTTATCAAAAGTCATCAATCCACCCAATGAATGGTTCTAAAAAACCACACCATGCGCAAGCTCTCACGGCAAATGCCCTTTCTGTGGCCAGACTGCAACCTCATAGGTTCAAAACAAAGAGTGTCAGAGTCAAAGCACATCTGCTACATTGAGATCGCCTTTGAGGGATGCTAAAGGAGTGATGATCCATCCACACACTCTTCCTTTTTCACCGCAGTTCCTCCCCCACCGAAATGATTGATCCATCCCCACCGAGCCAGGGATATCCAAGACACCGATGGTATATCCATGATGATACTGACCTCGAGCATACACTCTGCAACCCGCTCCGCAACCCTATGAGGGGCTCAGCTTGTCAAAGCTGCCCCACCATACTGCAAAGCTTGTCAAGCATATGAAGTGATCCAAAAACTAAAAGGATGCAGGCTGCATCAGCCATAGCTGCCATTTACTGCGTTTTTCTGCCAAAAAACTTCCGAAGTTGCAAATGGTCATCACAGGCCGTTCCCCCTTCCAGTGGCGGCAGAAGGCAATGACACAGGCTCCAGGGTTGTTTTCGACCTTGGCAGTCCATCCAAGCTGCCCCACCTACCTGACTGCAGCCCACGGTTGCACCCTATAGAAATCACAAAGGCCTTCTGAGAGCCATGGGCAGTCTGTCACCCCCAGCTAGAATCACTGAACAAATACCAAGCAACCCACTCAAAGCTCTTGCAGCCCACTGGGAACTGTCGCTGGTGCGGCTGATCATCTCCCATGTGCAAAGGCTTATGGCACTTGTAGACCGCCATCAAATCACTCAGCCAAACGCATAGGCCTGGCAAAACCCCCCCATCAGCCCACAAGGCCCAGACCGAAACGGACCAAAAGCGAGAGCGACGGCAGAAGCTGTGGTTCCCAAAGTCCAAACATCCGCTGGTTCGTGAGTAGTCCTTCTTATATAACTTCCCTGCAAACTCGGAAAAGGGTTCTAGACAAGACTAGTGGGACCAGTGACCCTTGGGCCGTTCAAGGAAACTGAACATTCACGCGATTACTTGCCAGGAAAAAGCAGGCCCGCCTCGCCGCACAGGCTCCTCTCCCTCGTGCCAATCCAGAGATTGATAGCAGTTCCATTCTCGGCCCTGGCCATATTCTTGACCTGGCCAATTCCAAATTACATTTTGCGATCAAGCCGTGTGCACCGTTGGTCCACGAAAAGTTTTCTTATCCAAAAAAATGCACCATTGCTGAACGGAAGACAAACATAGGCACTTCCACCATTTTACACAGACTTCACACGTTGCTCACACATCCCAGATTCCAGGCTGTCAAGTTCGTGAAAGAGCTGCAACTCTCCAACGATCAACATCTCACAACCGGTCCTTTCAGTCATCGCTTTCGCATCGCACATCGCTTTCAGTCGCTTTCGTGGTTGAAACAGGTCTGAAAATCGAAATGCTGTCAAGGCACCCATGAACAGAAGGGGTCGTCCACATCCGGAGGCTTGGTAGCCGTACAAAGCGCACAGCAAACGTACTCGCTCGTAGAAGCCCAGATTCTCCTCAAAAAAAGTCCGTGATGTCCCAAAGCAGAGGAAAAGCTCGGTGGAATTTTAAAACGCGCCAACTGATCAACTGATCTCAGTTGGGTTGCTTGCAGTTTCTATTGTCTCAGCATTCATAAAGTACGACACTGAGTGTGCAATAGATTTGAGTGTCATTTTTACTTCTCAGCAAATCGATCAATATGTGTTATCTTTACGTAAGCTTTTAAACTCTAAATCTAGCAACCCACAAGCAGAAAGAACAATGAGAAGCCCTCACACGATGGTCAGTTATCAGTCCCATCAGGTCCGACATCTGAACTCGACCATTCCATGGACATGTTTGCCAAGCCGACAATCGTGAAAAACTCTTGAGAACAAGTGGAAAACAAATCAATCTTCTTTCAAGGTCTCTTCTCTTCGCATGGAGCCGACAAATCATTGTCTCCATGGTGATTTAACATGATGGCTTTCATCCACATTTGGCTCCACCGGAGCGCAAGATCCCACGATCCCGTTTTCACCTTCTTCCCCATCTTTTCGATCATGCTGCCCTTCATGTTCGCCACCTCCCAAAACGGAAACAACTGTGAGTCCATCATGCCAGTTCTGAAACACAACAACAACCGCCATCAAACGCGCATCTCCAGGAAAAATCCGACGTTCAAAAAACACAAAAATGGGGATGAACAAAATTCTAGAACTTGCTGGCATTAGCCACTAACCCCCCAAACTCGCCTGCAATCTAGACTTGAACCGCCCAAACGGCTGTGAAATTCTGGAAAATAAAAGGCCTGCTACCCGGATCGGTCTCCGATCTGGAAATTCTGCAGCCGGGGCCTCATCATGCGACAAAGGCACCACATAGCGCTCGTTCTGCATGTACCTCACCACTCGCACCCGAGGCAAACAAAGAGGTAGGTAGAGCTAGAGGTAGCTGTTGGTACGGGTTGATTCGCTCTGCGGGACTCTGAAGCATACACTGCTTCAGATGGGCCTGCACTCCATGTGCAAGCAAAACTGTTTTAAAACCTGTCCAGATTCAATGAAATTTGCCATCAACGCTTCTCAAACCTTTTGGTGGGGACCTTTCATCATGGCCTCCTCGTCACTTCCCACTACCAAGACATGTTTGAGGATCTAAAGTTCTCCAGTTCCAACATTTCAAGATATTTAGGGTTTAGATTCCCAGCACCAATGAATAACTGAACAACCAAAAAAACGGCAGGGGCCCGGGTCAGCCCAGGTGCGTGGCACGCCACGTGAGCTTGTCGTGGTTCGATGGCTTGTTCCAAGCGGGCTCCTGTTTGTTCCACGAAGCAAGAAGAGATGGACCCAATTACACGGTGTGACCCGACCAAAAAAGTCACTGCAATGTCCGCCCTTGCGCCGAAGCACGTTGGCCTTTTCATGAGCTTCGATTGTTCAAAATTTGTTGCTGCTGGCCTTGAATATGCGGGAACGTGCTGGCCCGTTGATGCTCCCGTCCCGCGCGCCTGTAAAGAAATTACTTTGCTTCGAGTGATCCCCACCATGACATTTCGAAACAGCCACGTTGACATTACCCTCGTTGTGTATTTCAGCCCATAGCACAAGTCCTTCAGCGCCAAGTCTTGCTGTTTTGTCCGAAGCGAATGCTTTCATCAGGAGACCTGTGCCCAACTAATAATACAACTCAGATCACTTCAGTAGTAGTCCTACTGGGCGCCCCAAAATTGGGAAACTTCCACGGCCCGAGCAGTAGTAGTAGTAGTAGTATATAGTAGTATATAGTAGTATATAGTAGTATATAGTAGTATATAGTAGTATATAGTAGTAGATAGTAGTAGTAGTAGTAGTAGTCGTCGTCGTCGTCGTCGTCGTCGTCGTCGTCGTGGTAGTGGTAGTGGTAGTCGTGGTCGTGGTCGTGGTCGTAGTCGTAGTCGTAGTCGTAGTAGTAGTCGTAGTAGTAGTCGTAGTAGTAGTCGTAGTAGTAGTCGTAGTAGTAATCGTAGTAGTAGTAGTAGTAGTAGTAGTAGTTGTTGTTGTTGTTGTTGTTGTTGTAGTGGTAGTACTAGTAGTAGTGATAGTAGTAGTGGTAGTAGTAGTAGAAGAAGTAGTAGTAGTGGTAGCGGTAGTGGTAGTGGTACTGGTAGCGGTCGTGTGTTTGTGGTTGCGTTTGTGGTTGCGTTTGTGTTGCGTTTGCGGTTGTGCTGGTGGTTGCGTCTTTGTCGTTGTGGCTGCTGTTGTGTTTGTGGTTGCGCGCTTGTCATTGCGAGTTTGTGATTGTGGCTGTGGTTGCGTTTGTGGTTGTGTGTTTGTGATTGTGTTTGTGGTTGTGTGTGTGGTTGCGTTCGCGATTGTGTTTGCGGTTGCGCTTGCGGTTGCGTCTTTGTCGCGGTGGCAGTGGTTGTGTTTGTGGTTGCGCGCTTGTCATTGCGTGTTAGTGGCTGTGGTTGTGTGCTTGTGGTTGTGTGTTTGTGGTTGTGTGTTTGTGGTTGCGTGTTTGTGGTTGCGTGTTTGTGGGTGTGTGTTTGCGGTTGCGTGTTTGCGGTTGTGTGTTTGTGGTTCTGCGTTTGTGGTTGCGTGTTTGTGGTCGTGTGTTTGCGGTTCTGTGTTTGTGGTTCTGTGTTTGTGGTTGTGCGCTTGTGGTTGTGCGCTAGTGATTGTGTGTTTGTGTTTGTGGTTGTGTGTTTGTGATTGTGGCTTTGCGGTTGTGTGTTTGCGGTTGTGCGTTTGTGGTTGCGCTTGTGGTTGTGTGTTTGTGGTTGTGTGGTTGCGGTTGCGTGTTTGTGGTTGTGTGTTTGCGGTTGTGTGTTTGTGGTTGCGTCTTTGTGGTTGTGTGTTTGTGATTGCGCGTACGGTTGTGTGTTTGCGGTTGTGTGTTGTGGTCGTGTTTGTGATTGTGCTTGTGGGTGCGTCTTTGTGATTGTGTGCTTGTGGTTGTGCTTGTGGTTGCGTTGGTGATT